AAATCTAAACTTTCAGAGAATCTTATAAAGAACTCTGCTTATTTCCCTAAATTACTAAGTTTATATAGAGGTAAATTACTAAGTAGAGGTAAATTATAGAGGTAAATTATAGAGGTAAATTACTAAGTTTATATAGAGATAATATTTCCCATTTCTCTGTTTTTATAAATTAGAGTTTTGAAATATGATTATGAAAGGCTAATGGAAGTTCATGCTATTCTCGTTTCATTATAAATTTTCTCCATAAATGTCATGTTTCTATCATCTTACTACTAAGATTATATATTTCTATTCTGTTCTTCTCTTTAATCTTTATTTTTAACTCTATTTCAATCTCAAAAGAAAGACGAATTTCTAAAAGTATTCTTATAAAAGAAACAGTTTCACAAACAAATAAAACTTTATTAAACAAAATCTATTACAATTAGAAAAGCTCTTAAATCTAAACTCTCAGAGAATTTTACAAAGAATTCGGCTTATTTCCCTAAATTTCTATATTTTAATGCAGCTATTTAAAAAATTTTTTTAATTTTTAAAAATATTTTTTCCAAATTTACACTTTTTTAATATAAACCAGTGTTTTTTTGACATGTTTTATGCGAAAAAATACAAATCTTCCATTTTTTCTATTTTTAATATTTATGCTAAGGTGTAAAATATAAAAGCAAATAATGATCAAAAAATTTTTTGTTAAAAGGAAATTAAAAATAAAGGTTCATTGGAGAATACCGTATTTTCTCGCATAATTCCCTGGGGAATTATTTTTTAAACATCTCGAGGGAGGGGACAAGGAGGGGAGGAATTATTCGAGAGAGGGGAATAATTGTGTCAAACACTCATAAAGTTAAAAAACTGCATAAATTTTCTCAACTGACGATAAGATTGTTTTTCAAACCGATGTTATTGCCTTTTGTTTAAACATCAATTTTATTGTTTTGAGTTGGGGAATCATTCGAGGGAATGGAAATTAATCGAGAAAATACGGAATTGTGCTTCGATGCCCAAAAAAGACTAGAACGGTACGGTTCGATAAAAGTGAGGCCCGAAAAAATGACTCGAACGTCAGCCCGATTTAAAAACGGCAACCATAAAACGGAGAGTAAAATTTCACTATAAAATAAAATAACCCCAATTTTAAAATAAATTAACCCCAATTTTAAAATAAAATAACCCCAATTTTAAAATAAAATAACCCAAATTTTAAAATAAAATCACAAATCCTCTATCACTTACTTCAAAAATGTAGTTTTTCTGTAACATGTACCTTTCTTTTAATCTATGTAAGCATTAAATAATTTAACTCGTTTCCCTTTTCGTTCTCCCTGAGGATCCGAAGAACTAGCCTCGCCTTGAATTTGTTGTGGGGCATTTCCTTTTTAAAAAATAAAATTTATTTTTAAACAATTTTTATATTTTTTAATAAACAATTTTTTAGTTACTCATTCAGATAAAATTTATTTTCAACAAAATTTTATTCGGATTGGAATTGGGTCTAATCCAAATTAAGAAAAAAAAAACTTTCAAAAAAATTTTTAGTGAATTATAACTTTTTCCCTTTTTTCCTATTTTTCTCTCTTACGTAGAGGAAGCTAACAGAACGTTTATCGCACAAAGAAAATACGAAAAGATGAAGGTTGTGGTAGGAAGAACTAAACTCAGACTGTCGAGTTTATGTATGTTATGCTAGTTATTTATACATATATTTTTATATATTTTTTATATAGGTATATTTTTTACTTTAGTTTATTTATGTTGTGTATGGGCGTCAGCTCTTAAAGTGTTTAGTATAAAAACCCAGCCAATAGTTAGTTCTCTCTCCCAGTTTTAGTATTCTTCCTACCATAATCTTCATCTTCTTTGTAGTTTCGTTGTGATAAACTTCTGTTATCTTCCTCTACGTAAGCGGGGCCGTAACAGTTCCCCTTGGGGATTCGAGAAATCTATTTTGGGGAAGAGAACTATATCTTACTATTTATTAATTTATAAAATTTGTCTTTGATTGAATTTAATCGGCTTTCCTGACGGTGATAATTCGTCGTGTGTTCCAGCTTTTTCAAGAAGAATTCTATCGTTTCTATCTGAAGCCATTGTTGCCATTCCTCAAGATTAATTCTCGGTTCTCCATAAATTTTCTCCATAAATGTCATCTTTCTATTAGCTAAAGTCGACAACGCCCGGTTGCCTACAGTAGGATGTGAATGAAATAATCTATCTGTTTGGAACAATTCAGTGCCAACATAAATTATGGATTTATTACAGGGGTTTTCCCCGATACTTTGTACGTTGACTGTATAAAGTATTACACCAGTCATAGTTGTGTCATTTGGTATTAACGAAGCTCTATCATTTGATTCTACTTCATCGCAAGTAAATTCACGATTAACTTCATTCTTGATATTAAAACATTTATTTTAGAATGTTTTTCAAAATTTTTGAAATATTAATTTTAACTAGAGTATGTCGAGGTCTAGGTTTTTTGATAAACCGAGACCGAGGATCACCGAGGCTGGAAACACCGAGATCGAGGTCGAGGGGCAAATTTTGGCCGTTGTCCAAGGTCGAGGTCAGAGGATAACCGAGGTTTTTAAAAAAATTTATAAAACTTCAAAATCTAATTGTATTTACCAAACTTAATCAAAAATACACTGAATCGTTATAAAAGCATCTTTTTAATCTTATCAGATTCAATAGGTATCCCAAGCGTCAGGTTAGATGCGGGTCGTGGGTTTAATTCTGAGAGAAAATTTTGGATTGATAAGAGTCAGAATCTTCCAAGAAAACTAAACTTAATCCTAAAGCACAAGGGTTAAGTGATATAAAGTAGAGATCAAGAGAAGTAGAGATCAAGAGATCCCTCGATAACTCTTGTAATTTATTAAATATAACTCCAATCCATCTTACTTTGTTAATTTAAATTTACCTCATTCTGTTTGGCCATAACTAATTTATATTTGTTTTCGGGGCACGCTTTTCCCTCGTAAATGTTTGTAGCAACCGAATTTGGGACAAAATTTATGTTCAAGTGAGTGTTATCAGATTGGCATTCAATTCTAATATTTTTGTAGTCATTATTCTCCAAATGATTAACTTTAAATTGTAGATGTACATCGTATTCTACAGATTTAACAAAAATAGTAAATTGAAGCAAGTTAAAGAAAATGAGAATTTTAGTTTTAAATATCATTTCTAAAAAAATTTTTGTGAATTTTAAATTTAAAAATTAATAAATAAATATACTATGAGTAACCTGACACCATTAGTTAAATTATTATTTAAAATTTAAAGCATTTGATGTTTTTAGTCACGTTTTCCGTGTGTTTTCATGCGCCTGTATAGTAGGGTTGGTCACCTCCCCCGTCCCTGAAAGTCGGGGAATTTGAGATTTTTGACTTCTGAAGCTCTTATGTTTATATTAAGGTATTCCGATATCACACCAACTTCTTATAATGAACTATAACCTTAGTAAGCCTTCCAAATCCTTTGTTATCTGCTCTTAATCCGTTTATTTAATCCCCCCGATATTTCCCTTAGTCATCGATATCTGCCCACAGTCACGATATCCAATCCTAATCATCATCGTAGTTCCCTTAATATCTCCACCAAACGTGTTTATGGTTAAGAATAATATCAGGATACGGACTGATATGGATAATGCTCCACTTTTTTCCGCCGGGGTTTTCTGTGTTTTTATGTAGCCATAGAAAAATACACAGTTAATAAAACTTTAGTTTTTATTAGATTTTATTATTTTTTAATAAATTAGAGTTTTGAAATGTTAATATGAATGGATAACGGAATCTCATGCCGCTTATTAAGCATGCGTGTCATGTTAACGCTACGTGTTACTGAATATTAGAGTTTTGAAATGCGATTATGAATGGATAATGGATGTCATGCTAGTTATTGAATAACGTTAACGTGTCATAATGCCCTTTTTTATTTTATTGAATATTGATTTACAATTATTTAAAATTTTTTGATAAAAATTAAATATAAATGTTTAAATAATGTTTTTAATAAAATGTTTTAAATATAAATGTTTTTAATTTCTAAATATAAATGTTTAAATCAACAAATAAAAATTGTTTTTCTTTGTTTGTAAACTGTTTGTTCGTTTCTTTAACAGGACTTGATTTAATTTTTAAATTATTAAGATATAAATTTGAAATTGCTAATTCAATAGGTACCAATACAAAAAACACCAGTTATGATTTTATGATCATTTTAAATTTTAAAATCCGATTAATAAGAATGAAGACCAGATCCAGACCATAAAAATAGATTAATTATTTTCCGATGTTTTCCGGCCCAGACCAGAAAACGACGATCTATATTAAATGACGAACTCTATTATAGTATTTATATAAATTTTTCAAATATTTAACTTCAGCTATTTTTCTTAAGTTTAACAAAAAAATTTTATCATTAAAAAATCGTGCATGTCGGAGAAGGTCCTATACTATTTTTTAAACAGAATTTCCTTAGAATTAAATTTTTTAGACACAGGGTCATACTTGGCCTGAGAACAAGACGGGCTTTCTAGTGTAAGGTGTAGTCTAGCTTAAAGGCTAAAGGGCACTTTAATCTACATTCCTTTATTACTATTTTCCCAGTAAACATGTTTGTAATATTTATAATAGCCGCCCATTTATGTTCATTATATAACGATTTCCTTTCTTCCCATTAGATAGAGTTAGGCCTAACACTTACTTATATTATTTCCATCATTAATGTAATATGTATTTCCTATTGAATAAAGGGGCTTATAAATCATAGCGGTAACATCTATGCCTCGGCAAGCCTGAGGACCTGATCAACCCTCAGAGCTTAACCGATTAAGGTGAAAGGTATCCCGGACTTAAGTCTTACTAAATACCCCTAATGGAAAGGCCCACGCCAGCACGCTCCAATTGGCGTGCCGTGTTTCTGGTAGCACCGACCGGATGGTTCGCATTTTGCGACTTTCCATTGGCCTGGGCGGCCGGTAAGATTAAGAGATGGGTGGAATGCGATAGGCTAACTCCCCGCGCGGTTGCTTCGGCAAGTAAGAATGTCCTCCGGAGGTTAAAATAAATAATGGGCTTAATTTAAAAAATAAGGGCAAATAAAATAAAGGGCATAAAATAAAAGCGCTATATAAATTAAGGGCTAGATAAATAAATTAAGGGCTAAAAAATAATTGGGCTAAATTAAATGGGCTAATTAAAGAAAGGGCTAATAATTTAATGAAATAGATTTAAATATAAGTAAATCCCATTAAAGAAAGTTAATGGAGGCCCTAATATTCGGAAAATAAATTATATAAGCCCAGATCATGAAAATAAATTATAGAAAGCCCAGATAACAAGAAAAATTAAGAAAGCCAGATTATAAAATGCCCAAATAATATAAATTAAGAAAGCCCGTATAAGTGAGATAAAAAAAGCACTATTGATGTGAAAAGCTAGAGATTTATGTAAGAAATATTTTTTGAAAAATCGCGTCCTTTCCCTTTCCCTTTCTCTTTCCATTTTCATTCCCGCATTTTTCAGTTGGAAAGTATCCCGCTTCCCTAAAGAAAGAATTTAGATAATTTAAATAAGAAAGAATTCTAATAAATAGACCCTTCGGGAAGACCAAATTCCATAAATAAAAATTTAATTATTGAAACAAAAATTATGATTATTCTAATTTTTTTTCCTTCGGGAAGACAGAATGAAAAATTGAAATTACCGAAGTATAGAAAATACGTATTAGTTCTTTAATTTTTTTAATACCAAACGCAAATTTGGCGCACAGCAACTAGTTTTCTAGAAAAATAAAAATTTCATCATTTCTCATTAGAAAATTTTTTCCAGCTATTACACAAATAATTTAAGAGAGATTTTATTTTGCCTAGGCAAGTTCGCACCGCATTTTTTTCTAAAACTTTGATCGACATTATCCTCTCTTCCTTTTTTCTGCGATTATATCCTTTCTTTTCTTATACTCCTCCATTAATAAATACATCTTGGGAAACTTATTTTTTATAAAAAAAAACAAAAGGGGTTAATGTGTCATCCCTCTTTATTTTATTATTCTAAATTATTTATGAATAAATTTTATTGAAATAATATTTTTAGCTGAAACTTTTAATTTTGTTTATATTTGAATTAAAATTTTTAGATCTTTATTACCTAGGTATTTCCGGTTTTATACAAACAACAATAATTATTTTTTGTACTGGTCAACACTAATTGCTTCGGCGAGAAAAACCTTCATACAAAGTAAAGGATCTACAATTCTAATATTTGTGAATTCTACACTCTGCTTTGGCAAGACTGAATTTTACTTGAGGATCTACGTTTCTGGTGTCTGTACTCTAATAACTTTGCAAAATTTTGTGGGTGAAGGTATTTAAAATTAAAAAAAACTATTTTTCAAGGGGCCGAAAAAATTTCTAAAGGCTAAACTAATTCTTAGAAAATTTCAGTTATCTGTGCTTCTTATCTGCTATGATCTCATTTACTTAACTGTTTGGCAAGCAAAACAATAAATTACAAAAGCAAAATACACACAAAATCAACACATTTGAAGCAAACAACAAAAAGGAATTTTTTTAAATTCTGATCTGCCTAGGCAAGGAAATCTCTTTTACATTTTCCTTTGTGAGGTATTTACAAATAATAAAATTAATATTTTTATGTACCAATATTCGACTTGGAGTAATTCTAAAATTTACAATTTTAAAAAGAAATTTTTTTCTCTTTTCTGAATATTTTGCAAAATTAAAAATGATTTAAGTTTTAGGAAAATTTAATAGAATGATAATTTGATAAGAAATTTTTTTTAACTGAAGTATAGAAAATTCAACTGTCCAATTTTTTCTAATAAGTAATATTTATAAAAATAACTTTTCCTTCGGGAAGTCAAGATGTTAAAAAAAAGGGAATTACCTAAGTATAAAAATACATTTTAGGTCTGACATTCTCAGATTTAAATCGCAAAAGTCAATTGCGACAACCAATTATTTTTTATAGATAAATTTCTTTCATTTTGCCTTCCTGCAAAAATTACTTCCCAGCTATTACACATTAATTATAAAAAATTTTTTTTAATTGCCTAGGCAAGTCCGCGCTTTTTCTTAATCTTTAATCAACTTTGTCCTCTCTTCTGTCATCCGCCTATATTCTATCTTCAATTCTTTCCTCTTAAAAAAGCTTGGGAATTTTTTTTTTGTAAATTAAAGGAAAAGCGTTAATGTATAATCTCTTTTTATTTTTCGTAAAGTGGAATATATTTTTATTAAATTATTAGTTTTCCAGAGAATACTATTCTTATTTTTTTGAATTAATATCTGTATATTTTTTATCTAGGTATTACAAATTTAACTTTTTACTTTTAAACATTATTTTAGTATTTTATTTAAATAATTTAGAAAAAATCTTAATTTTTACAAACAAATATACATCAAACAACAATTTCAACAATTATAGTTGCTTGTACTAGACAACACATATTAATTGCTTTGGCAAGATTGAATTTTGGTAAAGATTTTCAGGCACCTACATATCACATTCGGACATAAATTATTATTTGGAGATATTTTTGCTTCGGCGAGACAAAATCTTATTGGTACCTGTGCTTCTGACCTACAACGATCTATTTATTTTTATTGTGCGCTTGTAGTACCTGTTCATTTTATACTTTGCTTTGGCAAGTCAGAAACTTGGTAGAGGTAGTTAAGATTAAACAAAAAAATTTTTTTTCACAAAAAATAATCTAAACATAATCTAATTTTTCTGAGACTTTCAGATATCTACACAACTTCTTATTGTCTTTGATCCTATCTACTTTGTATTTTGTGACAAACAGAACTTCAAAGAACTTGGATACTGAGATACGTCACGCTTCGGCAAGAACAATTCTACAAACAAAAAATGTCTGAAAACAGCACCAAGAATTCTCATTTAAATATTTTGACTGAAATCGAATCAGGTGGTACTCAACTACAAATCTTTAATGGCGAAGATGCTTCGGCTTTTGATGAATGGTCAACAAGGTTTAAGGAGATGTACATGAGAAAAATTTAAAAATATGGACTTATTTTAAATATAATTATTCGTTATGGGTAGCGAAAAGGCAATTTAAAAAAAGAAAACGCAAAATTGAAAGAATTTATTCTTTAATCATGTTTAACAATTTCATCTTCAAGGCTTAATAATGCTGATTATTAAGTTAATAGAAACCCTTACTCAGTCAAAATTCGTAAGCAGAGATCCTATCAATATTAAAAAAAATTCAAGGATTTGGAACATATTTCTGAAGAGAATATATTTTTGTTCATTTGGTTTTAATTTTATATTCCCCGATCGGGGAGATAGCGCCGCTCGAGGTGAAGAGTTTCCGTTTAGTCCGCTTATTACACCGCTTGAGAAAGTTTTAAATCCATTAACAAAAGGGAAGGAAAAAGGAATAATAAAAAGGATCTCTTCTACATTAATATGACTCATAATTCCTTCTTCACTTTAAAAAATAAATTTCTTCACTTAAACAATTTTTATTAATAAATAATTTGTTTATTTCATTAATTTGAATTTGTTTTAACCAAACTGGTAGCGCCCAGTCATAAAATACTAAATCTTATATATTTCAATTAACCATACTTTTTTCTTTGCTTAGGACTTAATTTTTTGGTGAATCTGCAATTGGTCGAAATTGGTTGGAGAATCTAATTCTTAAACTACTACAACAGATCAACTCTTTTGTTTTCGACACATTCTCAAAATAAAAACGAATTTCTATAAGTATTCTTATAAAAGAAACAGTTTCAAAAACAAATTATAACTTTAATAAAAAAATCTATTACAATTAGAAAAGCTCTTAAATCTAAACTTTCAGAGAATCTTACAAAGAACTCTGCTTATTTCCCTAAATTACTAAGTTTAAGTTTATATAACTAGAGGTAAATTACTAAGTAGAGGTAAATTATAGAGGTAAATTACTAAGTTTATATAAAGATAATATTTCCCATTTCTCTGTTTTTATAAATTAGAGTTTTGAAATATGATTATGAAAGGCTAATGGAAGTTCATGCTATTTTCGTTTCATTATAAAGTTTCTCCATAAATGTCATGTTTCTACTATCATCTTACTACTAAGATTATATATTTCTATTCTGTTCTTCTCTTTAATCTTTCTTCTTTTTACCTCCATTTCAAGCTCAAAAGAAAGACGAATTTCTAAAAATATTTTTATAAAAGAAACAGTTTCACAAACAAATTAAAATTTTATTAAACAAAATCTATTACAATTAGAAAAGCTTTTAAATCTAAACTCTCAGAGAATCTTACAAAGAACTCTGCTTATTTCCCTAAATTTTTATATTTTAATGCAGCTATTTAAAAAAATTTTTTAATTTTTAAAAATATTTTTTCCAAATCTCCACTTTTTAAATATAAATTAGAGTTTTTTGACATGTTTTATGCGAAAAAATACAAATCTGCCATTTTTTCTATTTTTTAATATTTATGCTAAGGTGTAAAATATAAAAGCAAATAAGAATTTAAAAAAATTTCTTGTTAAAAGGAAATTAAAAATAAAGGTTCAAAGAAGAATACCGTATTTTCTCGATTAATTCCACGGGAAACTATTCTTTCATCTTTTCGAATTAGGGGAAGGAAGAGGACATGGGGAATTATTCGAGAGAGGGGAATAATTGTGTCAAACACTCATAAAGTTAAAAAACTGCATAAATTTTCTCAGCTGTCGATAAGATTGTTTTTCAAACCGATGTTATTGCCTTTTGTTCAAACACCAATTTTATGTATTGTTTTGAGGTGGGGAATTATTCGAGGGAGGGGAAATCAATCGAGAAAATACGGAATCGGGCTTTGATTTCTGGCCCAAAAAAGACTAGAACGGTACGGTTCGATAAAAATGAGGCCCGAAAAAATGAATCGAACGTCAGCCCGATTTAAAAACGGCAACCATAAAACGGAGTTTAACAATTTCACTAAAAAAATAAAATAATCCCAATTTTAAAATAAAATAACCACAATTTTAAAATAAAATAACCACAATTTTAAAATAAAACAATCCCAATTTTAAAATAAAATAACCCAAATTTTAAAATAAAATAACCCCAATTTTAAAATAAAATAACCCAAATTTTAAAATAAAATTCCCAATCAAAAATCCTCTATCACTTTCTTCAAAAATCTCGGAGACAATCTTGTAGTTTTTCTGTAACATATACCTTTCTTTTAATCTATGTAAGCATTAAATAATTTAACTCTTTTCCCTTTTCGTTCTCCTTGAGGATCCGAAGAACTAGCCTCGCCTTGAATTTGTTGAGGATCCGAAGAACTAGCCACGCCTTGAATTTGTTGAGGATCCGAAGAACTAGCCACGCCTTGAATTTGTTGAGGATCAGAAGAGCTAGCTCCGACTTGAATTTGTTGATAGGCGCTAGAATGGCCTGCGGCGCTAGAAATGGTGAATTCGATTTCTGGAAAATCTGCGATTTCTGGAAAATCCCGCAAATTTAAAA